GGGCCTCTGGGAATAGGCCCCAAGGCTGTGGAGAGTGGTTAAGGAGGCCCAGGGATGTGGGAAGGCCCTTGGTGTGGTGGGGATGGGGCACTGATCCTGAAGAGGCCTATGTCTTTATGTACTGGGGAAAGACTGTTAGAATGCCTCAGGCCTGGTGGGGGGAGGGGATTGTGGAGCCTCTGTCCCAAAAGCTGAGAAGAGAAGGGTCAGGCTGACCCATGAGGAATAGAAGAAAAGTCTCAGTGGAGATGGGCAGGGGGCTCAGAAAAGTCCTGGGGAATGTGCAAGACAGACAGGATCTGGCTGTGTCAGCCTGGAGCTTCTAGGATACTAAATCTGGCTGAGAGGAAAGAGGACTGGGTGTGGAGGCCCCACGTTGGGAAGAGGAATGATTAAAGGTGTAGGCTGGAGAGAAGCAAGGAAGAGCCTGACTTAAGAAGAATGGAGAAAGGGAGAGAGGAATTTGTGGATAATAGGGGATGAGAATTCCTGTGGCTGTGAGAAGGGATAGCTAAACGGAAGAGAGCAGATTGGAGGGACAGAGGAGGAAGAGCTCCCATGGGCCCAACCCAGGTAAATAGTCACACAGGAAAAGCTGGATCAAGTTAGGCCTCTTAGAAGAGCCAAGTAAGAGGCCTACTAAGCAGTGCTATTTTGGAGGAAGGCCTCAATGTGGCCTAGCAGCCAGGAAAGTCTTCCTGGAGGTAGTGGACTGATTTTGCTTTGCGTAGGGAGAGGAGGAGAAAGTGATAGAGGTAGCAGGAAAGGATACAATGAAGAAACACAAGTAAAATAGGTATGTTATACCTTGAATGCCAATATATGGAGTTGGACTTTATCTTAAATGCAATAGAGAGCCTTCATTAGTGTAATAGCATAGGGAATTAGTGCTTTCATTCAGCAAGTACATTGAGTACCTACTATGTACGAAGAATTGTACTAGACTCTTAAACAACAAGATTCAGTCATTACACAAATAAATACAAAAGGAGATCCTAGAATGGAAGTTTTTAAAGATTTTCCTTAATTATAGTGTACTCTAAGATCTTAAACTTATTCTTGGCTGGACAGAGATGCTATTGACAGAATAAGAATAGTAATCACTAACACTTAGTGAGCTTATGGCCAAGCATAGTCTTAAAAAGATTACAAGCATGATATCCTTTAATTTTCACAACAGTGTTATGGGGTAGTTATTATTATCTCTATTTTTCATAGGAAAGTACTAGTTTTGCGTGTAGTGGGTGCCCAAAGGGTGGAAGTAGCCAACCTGGAAGAGTGGGAAGGGAATTCAGGAAAGGCTTAATAAAGGGCATGTGATACTTGAAAGATGAGTAGTAGTTATTTGGAAAGTGGCAAGGATATTCCTGATGGAGAGAACAGCATAACAAAATGAATCTCATGCCCAGAGGCAGAAAGCAGGGTAACACATTAGATAAATGAAAAAAGTAGTTTAGTATGGCTGAAGTGTAGGAGGCAAAGCAGGGAGCTGGAGAAGTTAGTAGGGCCCAGATTATGAAGGACTTTTTTAAATCAAGCACATTCAATAGGACTTTTTAAATGTAGAATGGTTCATTATGCTTGGGCAGAAATGAACTGACCAGCTCCTAAAAGAGCACATCAGCTTGCTTTGTGGGATTATCTCACCCTTGTAGATGTGTATGGCCCCGGAATTCCAGCTGCCAACTAAGTGGCTGAAGATAAGTGGACCAGAGTTTGAATTAGACTTAGGTTAGCTTCTACATGTTCCATTTGTCAAACTAGAAGTTTGCTCTTCTTCTCCTCCCCCCCCCCCC